AATTCCAAATTCTTATACACAAATAAAGAATTTTAGAAACTTCTAGAATAGTAAAAAGATAAATAATTTTGAATAGTTTTGAAATAATAAAATGATGAATTTTATCTTTGTTATACTTTGAGTAGATTTTAAAATTAGTAGCCATAAATAAACAAAATGCTCAAGGAAAAAAACATAGAGTTAAAACACACACATATATAAGTCAAATGGTTGTTTTTAAAAAGATGCAATCCTTGAAAATAACCATAAAACAGTTATATCGAAAAAACGCAGCCCTTGAAAATGACCATAAAACGGTTATATCAAAAACACACAATTTATGAAATAACCATATAACCATAAAACGGTTTTGGCTTACAAGACAAAATCATAAAGCGGTTATATTGAAAAGAGGCAACTCTTAGAAATAACCATTAAGCGGTTATATCAGAAAAACACAACTCTTGAAAAAGCGATTATATTGAAAAAATGCAACCTTTAGAAATAACTATAAAGCGGTTATAATTAAAATGATAAAACCAAAAAGTACAACCATAAAACGGTTTTGCGAAAAAAACACAAACGCTAGAAATGACCATCAAATGGTTATGTCGGAAAAACGCGACTCTTCAGAAAAAATTATATAAAAAATGTAATTTTTGAAAATAACCATAAGACAGTTATGTTTGAAAAGACACAACCATTAAAAATAACCATAGTGCGGTTATATTAAAAATTATGTAACCCTTGAAAAATCGGTTGTATCGAAAAGACGCAATCGATTGTATCGAAAAGATGCAATTTTCAAAAAAGATTAAATCCAACAATATTTAACTTTAAATATAACATTAAATAACAATGACTGATATTTTAAATTTATTTTTTAAAATTGCAAAGTTAGATTACATATGTGAGTTTTACCTTCAAGTGTATAGTTTTTTTACTACTAAGCAAATTTCTGTTTAATAAAATATATTTATAAAATGGTTAAAGTAATAATTGTATTAATTTATGATAAGTCAAGTGTTATTTGAGATCTACTTTCACTGCGTGTGTGGTGTTTGTTTTCTTAATTTTTGGTTATGTTTTTCTATCATTATGCCAAGGTGGTTATCGTTCTTGAATTTGTTCTTATACAATGGACTTTTATAACTCAACTAGGTAACTCCTCGCGTTACACGCGGTTAAATATTTTTTAGAAATCAAATAGATTAAAAAAGTATTAGTTAGTTAAAAATTATTAATGATGTTCAATTTGAATTTAAGTTCAATTTTTTTATATGAAATAATATCTTTTATTCTTTTCCGTTTGTTGTCACTAATTTTATTTTCATTAATAACACTGATAATAACTTTATTTACAATTTAATTAACAAAAAAAAATTGAATTGGTCATTGGATCTAATTTTATATCGTAATAACCAAGTAAGATTTTTTTTTTTTAAAGTTTCTCCATTTCTTTTGATATTGGAGTGTTGATTTTGTCGTTAACACATTACACAAAAATACTACTACTGTGTGTAAATTCCTTTTAAGTTTGCAAAATTGACAAAACAAAACACGACATATTGTGATCAATTGTGTTCAATATCCATTTGGTTAAATCCGTGTGAATTATTTTATTTTTGAATAACAATATCTAAAACGAAAATATTTACTATGGATAATATTGTTTTTTGTTAGATTCAATTGCGAATTTGGACACTTAGATTTGATGTTTTTTTTTAAGTTTACT